GCATCGTGAGCCTGCGTCTCCCTTGCACGAGAATAGGATGGCAAGCAGTCCAAGAAGGCAAGTACGACTTTGTGTCAATACTTTGCGATACCAGCCACTTAGTATACGTTCAATGATCAGCTCTTATCTGGCAGCACTGGAATAGAATTCGCTGTTTCTATGGATATCTGCATATCTATAGCACACCATCCTCATCCCATTCGTCGCGGTAGATGCGCAACCCTGTTGGTCCACGGAGTTCCATGCGGTACCTGCGAACGGAGAGCAAGCGAGAGGTGGCAGCTGCGCATCAGGGATGCCATTGCATTGCTCTTATCAAGACCAGTCCAGAAACCGTGCAATGGCCAAGAGGCTGGATTCCAAGGCCAGAATCGATTAATTAAATAACACCATCGAAAATTACGCTGCCCAGATACCCATATCTTATTACAAATCCCACTTCTCCTCACCTCCTTAACATTCAGGATCTGATAGTACTATAGTATTGCCTTCCGACCTCTTGTCACAGAAGCGGATCCAGGTATTGGGCCTTTCCCGTTTCTGCTCCCTACCCGGCAGCCGACCGCTGTCAGGCAGCCCGAAACTTTCCTCCCTCTTATGAGGCAAGCTAGCTAGCCTTCCAGAGCGGATAAGCCAGGGATCCCAAACCGCACCGATATCATTCGACCGCTTTGCGACTACCACCCATATAATCCCTGGCCCTAGGTTAATCCGCGCCTTTTTCCCTCGGCCAGACAAGCCCTCTCTATTTATCCTATGCATATTCCTCAGCGGCAGTAATAACGAAGCAATCAAGCAATAGTAGAAGAGAAAATTTTTCTTTTTGCCATATAATTAAAACGTGTAATAGACGAAAGCGAGAGACAAAACGGTGACGGGAAGGGACAGCTAGCGAGAGCAACGTTAACATTCCGGGATTCGAAGGGTATGGATGGATTCGAGGTTGCGATAAGGACCTGATATAATACTTATATAAACAGATCGCGGATTAAAAGGGTCACCGCCAGAGCGGTTTCTCCTCTCCGTCTCCCTCCTCCCTTCTTTTCCCTGGAGCAAACTCTCGAGCTCCGCAGAAAACCCAGGATCGAGATTGGAATTCCCATTACCGCTAGATACTTACCTATGTAACCAGCTTCCTGGTTGCCTTACCTTCCGGTAAATCGCCGGGCGCTGGTTTACACCCATCAAATGCAGCATAGCCTTCCTGTCTACAGCTAAACGACCGCCCGCGATTTCGGAACCCCCACAGGCACCAAAAACCCTGTTTTGGGTGTCCTGCTTTTCGCTTGTGCGATCGATAGCATCATAGATTCGCGTCCGAGCAGCCCAATCGATCCTCTCGCAAACGAGGGAAATCGAAGATCCCCCACGGATTTAAATCATCCCGCTGAGATCACCTGGAAAGCACGGGGGTTGGGAGCTATAAGAACAGCGCTCCCGCGCCATCTACAGCAGGATGAAGCATCCAGTCAGCCTTCTTCTCGCAGCCGGAGCAGGTGTTATTGGAGGTCAGTTTTCTATTTTTTAGCTTCATAACTCTTGATTATGTGTTTTCATTCTATGCTTGTCGACAAAACCTATATTCTCGTGCTGTTGCATTCTTTATGTTGTAACGTATCAACGACGACATTTAGCAACCAAACGCTGACATTGACGTTACACACGCAACCTTGCTGCTTGTGTCACCAGGCAAATACCTATTCGAGCCTCGCGCTACAGACTCCCACAAAGAACACAAAACACCACAGTTCTCGTCTACCAAGATGTCGTCGTCCCCAGTTCCGACGTCCCACCAACATCGCCACACCGACTCACCGTCTGTCTCGCTCCCACAAACTCCAGCCCGCCAAACCGCACCTACTCCCGCACGTGAAGAACACTCAGATTCCCCATTGACGCCATCCGCGATCGCAAATACTCGCACGCTAGCTTGTCTGCCCTCGACAGAGATTTCCAAAAGCGCACACCCAGATGATGCTGCCAAAATAATGGATGAACCATTACCGTCAAGCCCGCTCATCGCGAAGAAAATTCCAAGCAAAGAGGACTCCGGTGAGATGCAGGCGGAGCCATACACGAAGAGCGAGGAAGGCGTAGGGCTATTCGGTCGCGTCAAGTTTTGGTAGCACTCTGATAGATGATACAGCGCGATAAAGATTACGATAATACACGACGGCGCTTTATTTTGTTTTCTTCGTGACAGTGACAGACTGCTAAGGAGGATGCAAACTATTTTACACTTCTGGCTTAGAGGAATTTTCAGTACTTCTGGTATCTTGTATAACGAGCAAATGATTTGACATTATTATATGACATGCATGTCGACAGTTTCATCTGTTTTCAGTTTTCTTGAATTTGCAACGCTGTGGTTCTTGTTGCTTCCGAATAATATACACCAGCACATCGATTAATTTGTAGTTATAGAGGTATGGACCTGTCCATTGAGCTTTTCTCCCACAATATATCTGTATTCGCGCCTAGTCAATATTTAGAGTATAGCCCGTAATTTGGCTAGCAGTTCTGGATCTTGCTGAAGTAAAAAGATCAAACTGTCGGACGCGGTCGAATCGCCGTTCGATGATGCGACGTCCGGGTCCGGATAGAACCATGCGGCTACTGCCATGATGCAATATATGATCTAGTCGGAAAGTCAGCAAGAGCTTGTTCTACATGGGATAAAAAAGAAATCGAAGACTTACCACCATGAGAAACCCTTCTAAGTAATTGCACTCGTTGTCTCGCAGGAATTCTCCTGTCACCAGAATAGACAGCACCAGCAGCGCGATCATAAAGATCTCAAAGTTGAGATCTATAGGCTTGCCGATGATCCAGCCGACTATGATAACTAACGGGGCGTTGAAGAGCGCTGTCTGAATGGACGGACCGAGGCAATGGTATAACGCAAAGTTCTGCAAATTGAATGGAATAGAAATTAGATAATCCACGTCGGGGTATCTAAAGAATTCATGGGGTTTGGCAGATCCAAATAGCACTGCTACATACCATATGCCCGTTCCACGCATCATTGATGGCTGTCAAATGCTCAGCAGCCTTCTCTACCAACGGCAGTAGGATTAGACCGAGAAACTGATCTGGTACACCACTATCCACGATATCCTTGATCCGATCAACCAGGATCACCGCAAACAGCGGTACCAGAACCAACGAGACTGACAGCGCGAGAATGCATTCTGTCATCGTAAACTTCGGCTTCTCCATATGCTCCTTGCGAGTACTGCGGTCGAGCGGTCCGGAAAGCGGCTCATGCCCATGCTCGTCCGACTCGAGGACCTCGTCGAAAATGTTGTGGTTCGTACGGACGTTGAAAAGTATGTATACAGCGAATGAGAGCAAGAGAAGTAGCGACGTTACTTGGCTGATCCTGAGGACGTCGTACTGTAGGTCCTCGCTGGTATATTTTTGGTGTGGATTGCCCAATATAACCTGCGGGTCGTTCTTGTGCAGCGCCGAGCCCTTGAGCGCTGAGTAGAAGGCGCTCGGAATGAGCAGCCCGAAGCCAGCAACGAGGATCAGGCCGTTGCTAACCTCGCTGACTGCCGAGTGGAACGTCTGCACGTTTTCCCGTATGCCACCGACGAAGAAGCACAGGCCAAGGCAGAGCAGCAGGTTGGTGAGAATCGATCCGAGCACTGCAGCTTGAATAACCGGGATAAAGTTTCCATCACTGGCATTCTCGCCGTCCGGGCCACCCACTGCGTCTGGGTTATGTTGGGCCAGCAGACTCATGAACAGTATGATCTCAACAATGGATCCAAAGGTGGTTTCGATAAGGATTCCCCAGACCTTGGGCATCTTGCGAGCAAACTCTTGCCCCGCAAATCCAAGCAAGTTGGCAACGGGTATCATCGCGACATAGCTCGTCGCAAATATCGCCGTCGACGAGGCATTGGAAAAGTATCGCAGGCAGATAGCTACCGGCACGATAGGCCAGAAGAGGTTCATCGCCATCGAAACTCGGTTAGAGCTGCGCCAGAGGACGTATGCGAAATGCGAGAGCTGGAATCCACTCCGCCCGCTCTCTCCGTCCGGATGCACCGGCATTGTGAGTGATCTCCGCGACAGGAAAGTTAACGACGCGTCGTTGTTGGGTCGTTCGCGAAGTAGCGGTTCGCGCTCGCCAGCAGTGGTGGTGCTCAGGTGTGTGCCGTTCTCGATCTCCCGGCTCCTGTCCTCAGCCTCCCGTTCATTATGAGGGTCCATCGTGACCGCTCTCCGATTTCGATAATCTTGAAAGTGACTGGTTTCCTAATGAGTAATATGCAATGGGAACCGGATGATGCTAACATCCATTTTGGTAGGTTCCGGTGCGATGCAGGTCGCCTTAAAAGTATTTCGACTGCTTGACGCATTTGGTGTGTTCCTGAGAACTTCGGGATCAGCTTCTCAGAGAGTCCACAAATGTTGCGAATCCGTCGCTGTTGTAGCGATTTGGGCTAAGCGCTAAGCTAGTCGACCGCACGGACTACAAGTCTCTATACTTAGTATATGGGCACGGACATGGGTGCAGAGTAACATTTACACGAAGTTCCTCCTTTGCAAGTCGAAGAATGGTTCAAAAGCTTTGTTCCTAAATCCGTGAATCGTGTGGTGGTAAAATATGAAATCGGCGGAAAAGCTCCGACATTTGGCGAGCAGCTCGCTATCTTGCATGGCTGCATGGCGCAAAAATTATCGCGGTGATCTCTGAACATATGCACAGAGCGTGCTCAATCACCCACACTCTAATACGCTCGGCTCTCGCATCCGAAGAAGATAATTACGTTATGCTATGCATAAGCCATGAATATTCGATCTTGTTGTATCGAAAATGTGCCACATATTACCTAAAGCTCGATCGATCGATCCCGGCAACCCGGCCGAGTCGAAAGGCCTAAACCCATAACGGGAAGGTTCCACACATGGCCCTGCCCTGACATCCTATCCCGGGTAATAACTGGTTGATATTGAAAATTTTCAGCCAGCAGCACCATCAAATACCAGCATTTGTGGTTCAGTGGTAGAATTCATCGTTGCCACAAGTACCCGGTAACGGTTACAGCGTAAGCTCGATGAGGCCCGGATTCGATTTCCGGCAGATGCATTACCATTCTTTCTTCGGAAAGCCTTTCTTTTTGTATTTTTCTCTGGTTTGTCTTTTTTTTGTTTTTGAGATATTCGAATATTTGAGTGACCGCTTCTTGGGTTGGGCCTTTGACATTTCGGTTCAAGAGCATAGGGCAGAGAATTCTTTCACTCGGCTACCTTGGTTTGAATATGGCCTCAACACTACAAGGCTTCGATTTTGACAAGAAGTAGTTACACCTCGAAGAGCAAGACCCGGACTGCTAGGTATATTTTCTATGTTAATTTGGACCTCTTACAAGAGGAATGTTGGATTCTAAAAGTCCTGCGTTGACTTTGGCTTGCAGTATATATATGATAGCCATGCAGTAAGAATCCTAGACAGTGGAATGTTAAAGCGTGCAAGTCCCCTCTAAGATGGTCTCGCGTGGGGCCAAACCGCAACGCTCTAAGATTGATTATAAAAATAAGCTAACCAAAATTTGGCCTCCTCGATCCAGCTTATCTATTCATCAAGTGATCAAACTAATTGGCCTAATTAAACCTGACGTGCGGTCTAGCTTGCGAGACTAGCATAGACCCTCTCAAACCAGAATATTAACGATATATAAGTCAAAAATATGTCAAAAAGTATCTCTGCATTCTCACTTTCACTGCCCCGCCGCTGTCTAAACCGTATGCAGCCCATTATATAACTACCAATATAAATTATACACAATAAATTATATATCCCTCTATACCAACTGAATCACCTCTCGGGACCTATCGTACACACACACGTCCACAACCACCTAATCACTCTCCTTAAGTTCATCCAACCGCTTTCTCAACTCCGGCACAGCCCTCAACTGCAACTCGAGCTCCTCCTTCTCATCCTCAAGCTTCAATCGCCGCTCCGCATCTAGCTTGGTGAACACAAAGCCGCCCTGTCCGTCGAACTGCAGGATGTTCTCATGGTACTTCCAGAGACTCTTGCGGTGGCTGACTGTGATAAGCGTGATGTCTAGCTGCTTTGCCGTTTCGTACATTATCCGTTCGATATCGAGCGTTTGCGCTGCCGTGCACTCGTCCAGAATTGCGCTATACGTCACAGAAACTTTGTTAGCAAGCGCGTACATAAGATGTTGGGATACCGGGGATGAGGATGTGCACTCACAATTTCGGCGAATGGTAGAATAACCTCGCCATCGCAATTCTCTGCTGCAGACCGCCGCTCAAATGCTCCCTCCATTCCTTCTCCACATCCCACCCGCCTTCCCGCTCTACCACGCCTTCGATTTCCACAATCCTCAACAACGCCATCAAATCCTCGTCTGTGACGCCTTTGTCCATCATATCCTTCAGGCCGTCAGGATAAATGACCTGCTGCCTCAAGCTGCCTCTGCTAAGGTACGGTCGCTGTGGAATGTAGAAGATCTCCTCGCTGGGCGGCTTGTGCACCTCCCCGCCATACACGGGCCACAGACCGCCTAGGATTCTGAACAAGCTGCTCTTTCCGCAACCGTTCGGCCCAACGATAAGCAGATGCTCGCGCGGCTTGACGGTGAACGACAGCTTCCGGACTAGAACGTCGCCGTTGGGGCTAACGATGGGGACGTCGATAAACTCGATGAAACTGTCTTCGATAACTTTGCCGCGGCCCCGGAGCACGGCGGCGTTTTCCTCCGTCGACGCCGACGAGACGAGGTTCTTCTCGAAATGACCGGCGGTAATATCATCCATCACACCGAGCAGTGTTGACACGCGAGACGTGTAGCCTGCAAGCTCGGTAATCTCCTTATACGAGAACATGACACGGCCAAAGGCGTCCGAGGAAGACAACAGCAGCCGACGGTTAGTCACGAAACCTGCGATTGAAACCTTAGTTAGTCTGATACAAATCACCATACAAAATGCATGGATAGAGGCGGTTCTTACTTTCCGTCCGATCTCCCAAGCTTGCACCCTTCGCGCCAGGAACCTTGAAGAACACGGGCACACTGCACAACACCAACCCGAGCGCACCCCAGAAGTACTTGATGACATAGTCTTCCATGATGCCATGATACAGCCGCTGCCTCAAGATGTGGTTAACATACTTGATCAGCCTAAAATAACCCTTATCTAGCGTCTTCTTCTCGTTCTCATGTCCATAGTACAGCGCGACCTCCTCCGCATTCTCAATCAGTCGCGAATGCTGGTGCCGGAACTCTCCCTCCAACTTGGCCTCATCAGCGACGTACTTGCCGAACGGCGGCGTCAGCGCCCTCATGACATTCGCGGAGATTTGCACCAGTAACGCCATCAGGAACAGCCCTTCGCCACCGACATTGCGAGAGAGCTGGTAGTTGTAGATCACCATGTCGAGCACCGGCTTCGCGAGATTGGAGTACAGTTCCGCCAGAGAGTTGGAGAACTTGCGCACATCCTCAACGATCAGCTGGTCCGGGTTCTTGATGCGGTCGTCGAGATTACCGACGCTGTAAAAGATCATGTTCGAAAGATACTTGTTATGAATGTAATTCGTGAGCCGAGTGCGGTATTGTAAGGCGAGTTTGCACTGGTGATACGAAAGCTATTCCGCCAAAGATTCCGTTAGCCATCAAATAACAATGTGGTGATATAAGAGACCTGCGAAATCGCATACCATGGAATTGGTGAAAGTGGCCGGTATAGCCACAATCATCCACCATATGATCCCCAGTAGAAAGTCCTTCCCCTTCCCGCGCACCAAGTTGGACACCAACCGTCCATCCAACTCGGCGACATAAAGACTTATCAACGTCCTCAACACCAGGAACACCGAATGGCTGACCAGCAACCTCGCCTCTTTGCTCTTCCATCCTGGTATCACAATCTTCAGCAGCTTGAACAGACTCCGGAAGAAGTCCCTGTTCAATTCCACTTTCTGTCGCTTACTCCCATCCGACGTGGAGCGGGTGGGCTTGACGGCCGGTTTCTGGTCCGAGATCGCAGCGCGGACGCGCAGAATGAGCGCGGCGAACGTGAAGAGATACAGACCGCGCGAGATATGGGTCTTGTTCGTCAAGTAGAACGAGAGCGACGAGTTGAGAACGTTGAGGATTGCCGCCTGGCTGCCGGCGGGCAGCAGCTTGGACTGCGCCGCCATCGCTGTGCCGTGGAATGGACGTGAGTGTAGTTAACCGGTTATACGTGTGGTTATCCGCCGAAGAAAGCCCGACCGGATCGAAAACGGAGCTGGACTATGCGAATGCGAAAGCGGCGACGGGTATCATGACGGAGAAACTCGAGTAGCAAGAGCAGTTCGCTCGACCGGCGCACGTTGGATGAAAACTTGAACGTTGACGGGGGAAAAAGACGGGCAACGTTGGCGGCCTTTCACATGTCGGCGGTGCGTCATGTGCGTTTCGGCATTTCTCCACGCCCAAAGTCAGCAAGCACGGCTTCGGCTGCTTCCCCACAACGCCAAATGCGGCAGCCGCACCAGAACAGCAGGACGCGGTGCCCGTAAGCTGCGATAAATGTTCCCGTGGGCGTGATTGATTATATTCAGGTGCAATCTTACTCGTCTAGGTTATATTTTAGCTACTAGGCTGGGGTCTGGGGAATCAGATATTAGGATTTTGGTTCGCGAGAACGACAGGAATGGGTTTTTGTGTATACATCCGCTGGTATCAAACATGCTCCGTCCGAACGCCGTCGAGACTCCTCCAAATACGCACAATCACAAAGACATCAAGAAGATAAGGAAAGGAAAGAGGAAAGGACGAAGCTAAATTACAAGAGCTAACCGTCGTAACAGCACTCCAGGTGAAGAGAGTGTGTAGGAGAGCAGAATACGTTCCTCCCAGTGCATTGCAACCTTCAAAGCACGCGACCATACAGAACCTAATCCTCAAGCATGAAACAAAAGTACAACACAGGATAGACCGCACCCCGTATCGAAACAGATAACCAAGCCCATTCAACAAAGAACTTTTGCTTTTGCTTCAAATGGCTTCAAACATTCATCTTGACGCTCAACTCGTTCACATCCGGTGAGTCGGCTTCCTGGTGTTTTGCCGACGAGTACTTTGGCCGGAAGGTCGACACTGCAGGAATATTCGCCTTGAATCTAGACATTCGACATCGGGTTAGCAGCTGTAACTCCGCATGAAGGGTATTCAGGGAATCGCTGGACTCACCTTTCTTCTTTGGTTCCATATGCTTTCGGTGTAAGCTTGATGACCGTGTGCAGCGGAATCTCCATCCAAGGACTCCGGTCCTGCGGCACGTTCATAAAGTACGCATAGATGCACCTGATAACTGCCTGATGCGTGACAACCATGACGTTTTCCTGCCTCTCCATCTCCATGATGATCGGCTCCAATCTGATGACCAGATCGCGGTAACTCTCGCCGCCGCGATATCGGTAATTGTATTTATCGTCGTCACGGGCCTTGAAGTCCTCGGGGTACTGCTCCTCGATTTCCTCGTAAGTGAGGCCATCGCAGGTACCGCTGTCGAGCTCGTCGAGCGCTTTCCACTGAAGTTTATTGTACGGCAGGTGTCGGGCGGTCTGAATAGTTCGTTTCATCGTGCTGGTCCAGACTGTGATGCCTTGCTGCGGCATGATGCCAGACTGACGGCATAGCTCCGGGAGGACCTCGGCATACCGCATGCCGCGGGGTGAGAGGTCGGCGTCTCCACCGATCTTGCCCGCGAGATTGTACATGGACTCGCCGTGCTATCGAAACAATCAGTCTAGTTCTTCTGTAGACTATCAATTTGCCCTTGAATCAACTCACCCTCGACAACCAGATGGACCTCGGTTTGATGTGCAGGTTCATCAGAAAGTACACGATGCGACTCTGCAGGTAGTCCTGAATGCAGTTGATCACGACCTGTGACCCCACATTGATCAACTTGACATAGGTGTAATCCGTCTCCGTAATCGTCTCATACACCTTCTCGTAGTTCCGAATCCGCTCTCTGAAATCCCGGGCCGCAGCTTCAGGGTCTTGACCCCGGTAATCCGGAGAAGTGGTTTTAACTTCTAGAATATTGGCCATGATGAGG